CCGCGTCTCAGTCGAGTCTCCGCCTCCCTCAACCGCCGCCGCCGCCGCCGCTGGGCCCGGCTCCGCGCCACGTGACCGCGCCACGTGACCCGGCGAGGCTGGCAGGCGCCTCCCCGGCCAGCCTCGCGCCCTGGGGACCCGCGCCCGGGCCGCTGACGCCCTCCCACACGCCCGCCCCGGGCCGCGGTCGCGGCCCCGCCGCTCCCTCCTCGCGCTCTGCCCCAGCCCGCCACCTGCTCCCACGAGCGGAACCCCAACTCAGCAGACCCGCCAGCCCCCACACACGCCCGCCAACACACACGCGCGCACACTCGGCGCGGACACACCGGCGCTCGCGCGCGCACCCCGCAGTCCTGGCCCCTCAGGGCCGCTCCGCAGCCAGGACGACAATGAAACAACTAGCAACTAGTCCTCTCTGAACCCCGCTGGCTGGAGAAGCCTCTCCTACCCGACTGTGTCATGATTTGCGTGCAGTCGGAACTTCGTTGGAGCCGGAAGTGGACACCACACTGTCTCAACTTGAAAGCCACTGGACAGCAGATCTGCTCGTACCACGAACCAACGTATCTCCCCATGAAGACAGTCATTGAACTGTCTTTAGTGGCGATGATCGCAGCGTCTCTTTTCCAGTTGCTCTTATGGAGAAAAGACCGGATAGCGTCGTTTTGAACTCCCACAGGGAAAAAGAATTCACGGCCTCTCTCCCACCCCATGAAATTGATGACCTGCTAGGAATGGAGACTTTCTTCATTTTCCATCATGTACAAAGAAATGGCATTGCTGATTGTGTGGCTGTTCACACGCGTGTAGTTCTTTTTTAAAACAGGATCAGCATCCTGCCTTCCTTGGTTTCAGGCATAAAACACCCCATATATTATCGTTAAGTATAGCAGCCACTCTTTGCAAAGGATCAGAACTTTTTTCGGTTTTACCTAATTGCCAAATTTCTCAAATCGGCTTCAGATTTGAGAATCGCTGCTTCTGTGAATTTCTGGTTGTCAGAAAGAAAAGAGTTAGACAAAGAGCCTTTAAATTCTGAAATTTCATACCTAAGATTTCACAAATGTTGGAAAGGGCTACTTAGATTTTTTTTTTATTTTAAAAAAGGTGATTTTTAAACAAGCGATATTTGCCTCATGCATGTATGCACATAAGTATAATGTATTTAATAGAAGTATTAATAGCATTATTTGATGATAATATTTTATACCCCTAAAATTAATTTGAAATCTTTAAGAAAGAAAACTACATTTAGGTCTTAGAGTATCTTAAACAGAGTATCTCTCTCTGTCTCTCTCTCTCTCTCTCTCTCNAGAGAGAGAGAGAGAAACTGGGATAGGCAATAAGGGCCTGGAGCAAATTTTGAAAAATCTGACCCTTACTGTCAGACTTTAAAGAGTCGGTAAAAGGAATAAAGATGAAAAGATGCACTTAAAGAACTTCCTTGGCTTAACAAATAATCTATGTAACAGTATAAACATGATTTAACAAATACCATCAAGATTGCACAACACCGGTGTTCTTTCTTCTCAACATGAAAAAATATTCACCTTGAAACCACTCTTCTCCTAGCATAGTTGTCCTTAAGGCCTGCATGTGAAACTATGTTTTATTCAAGCACTGTTGGGTTTACATGCATCCAACTCTCGGCACATCTGTAAAGGCCCTCAAGTTTGTTTTATGCCTCTGGTTTCCCAGTGTCCGTGGTTACGTGAATGGTCTTTGGAGCAAGTGTCTTCATTGAAGCTCCTACCACTTACAAACAAGTGACAATAGCAAAATGCCTAACACTGCTTCTTTAAGCATGCAATCAAATAAAATCTACCTCACAGGGCTGTTGAAAGAATTAAATGAAATAATTTGTGTACTTAGTATAGTGCCTGATACATTAGGTACTCAATCAAAAATAACAGCTCAGGTTTATTAAATGCTTACCATGGTCCAAATACTGTGCCTTGTTGGTACTTATTTTTACTGTTCTTTCTGTTCCCTGTTACTCTCAGTGGGTGCCCTCCATTCCCCACCTTACCCCCAAGTCCCTTTTTAAGGGTCTATTCTCTCTCTCTCTCTCCCTCTCTCTGCCTTTCAAGGATGAAAATGGTTTCCTTAAGACATTTTAACTTGAAGGCTCATTTATCACAATCTATTAAATCTGTTGTGACTCTACATTTTAAGTTTTTAAAAAAAAATCTAATTATGGGGCCAGCTGAGTGGCTCAGTTGGTTAAGAGCTTGCTCAAGAGTTTGAGCTCTGAACAACAGGGTCCCCGGTTTGAATCACGGCCCTAGTTGAGCTGCCGCTGAGCTGCCAACAGGTGGCAGGATGGCTCAGCTAAAAAAAAAAAATCTAATTATGAAATGAAAATGATTCTCTCATTTAGAAATCTGAGGTAACTGGGAGCCATTAGGAAGGAGATTTGGCAATTGGGAGCCTTCCACTGGCCTTTGAAATCCCACTCGTCCAACAATTCTCATTTTGTTTTGCTTAAAATACTTTTAAATATTAGAAAATTTGGCAACACATTTGAACAAATTAAACAAATCCACAATAATTGTTAAATAGTAATTACTAGAACAAAGTATCTCTCATTCATTGCTGTGACTCTATGAACTGGCTGTCCTTTAGCTCTATGTTCATTTGAGACAAAATTCTTTCTACCCTGATCAAGCTCCTACAAGTTCTAAGAGATATGTGACCTTTCTTTGAAAATTATACTATCCTTACATCTGCCTTGCCTTGGGTCATGCAATGAGCTCAGAGCTCAAACTGGATCTGATAGGCATCTTGGTAACAGTATGACAATTAGGTTGTGACATAAATATTTTGCACAGCGTTTGGCTATGCGCCTGAGAAGGCGTTTGGGGCTGGCACCATGGCTGAGCACCACTGGACTACTGTAAGGCTGGGCCTGAAGCACCAGGGATCAGAAATCACAGTCGGGTGCCTGGGTTGGTCTCTGTACCCTTCTCTCCCCATCATGTGACTCTAAGACATCTAAATACTAAAGATCCAGAAGCTCTTCTCTCAAGACCTCTTTCCTGCCTCCTTATCACCCAACGTCCCTGGTCACCTCTCCCCTCCTTCCTGGCCACAATACAATTCAGAGCCCAGAGTTTCTGCTGATTCAAGCCCTTCAGTCACCAAGATATTCAGCACAGGATCTGGGAAACTAGATCCTGGACATAGGGATATGGACGGTGTCCATGGCAAAGGGGCTAGAGCTTTTGGAGAATAAGATGCAAGCCTTTGTCTTTCAATGGGTCCTGAGAGCCAAAAATACCAGTGCCAGTGTAGGCTTCATTACGGAAAGACAGCACTCAGAATAAAGAGGAAATGCCCGGGGCCCGCTATACATTGCATAGCCAGCCACATCCAACTGTTTCTCTCAGTTCTGGACATGACCATAGTCTCATTTTAAAAAGGACATTGATAAGTTGCAGCACCACCTATGAAGGATGACCAAGATGGTGAGGACTCTAGAAGCTGTGTTATAGTTTTCTAAATAGCTGTTAAGGGAAATAGGAATGCTTAATGTGGAAAGAGACAGAAGAATATGCAGGTGAAATGATCACGTGGGTATACTATTCCTTTGTAATTATTTATTGAGCTGCTACTTTGGACCAAGCACTGCCCATATCAAGAATCAGTGTGTGGGGGTTTATGGGAGGGGGATTTGGTTCAGATAAGGAAAAGCCTCGTAACACAGTGGCCCATCAGGGAAGTGGTAGCCTTGGCAAGGAGCCTTGAGCCCACCTGTGCATCTGCCTCTACTCTGGTGAGCTGGGCTAGACACACAGGAAGCAACCGCAAGGTTCACCTCCTCTCAGTTTTAAAGCCTAGAGCCTCTCCTCAGCTAACTGCTAACTCTTCCCCATTCTGCTGAATGCCTCCTGAGCAAAGGGAACACCTGCACCCAACGTCTAGGACCATCTGCTCTACTGTCTCATACCTTCACGTCAGAGGCCTGTAAGAACA